AACTTACACGACCCCCTTTCTTTCATAATAATGGTGCTTTCTTTGGCAGGAGACTTTTGCAGACAGAACAAAAATAACTGTATTGACCTGAAAAAACAACAACAAACAACAAACAGGTGGCGGCTCACCTGTATTGTCACACAGACCTTCAAGAGCCCAACACCGCTGAGCGTTTCACCCCGTCTCGGGGAGGCGTGGCGGGGATGAGCGGCTCAGACCTGAGCGCCGACGGGCGCATGCGGGGCCCCTGGGGGCTGGACGCCAAGAGGTCTCACAGCAGACGTGGGTGTGGACTGACACCCAGAATCCGTGGGTCCGAGGACAAGGCTTTATCACGGTGAGACCAGCCCTTCCTGCCCCACTGGCCGCTCAGAGAGCTGGCTACCCAAACACCCCTTCCACCCGATGCTTGGAGGGCACCCCAGCTTCCCGTGTCCTGGGGAATGTCGGGTTCTGAGACCTCCCCACCCTGTACTCACAATGATAACCGTCCCAATGGGCCCGGCAAAGCTCCAGATCAGGGTGTCTTGAAGGGACAGCCAGCAGAAGTCGGGGTTTCCATAGCCCTGGGGGTCCAGGCCCACTGCAAGTCCTAGACAACAGAGAGGGGAGTGAGGGCCACACCCTGGGAGGGGACCCTCCTGAGGGTCAGCCTGGGCAGGTGTGTCCACAAGCAGGGCGTCCCCAGGCCCACCCAGGCAGGACCCCGGGGCCCAGTATTGCCCTCAGTGGGAAGGGCCAGGAGCCCAAGATAAACAGCTGGGACGTGACAGAGGCCCGGATGCCCTAGAGCAAAGCCTCTCAGTGTTGAATCACAGCCCCCTCACGGCCCAAGGGCCCAGTAACAGGAGCCAACCTGGGCCAGGGGAGACCTGAGAGAGGCCTTTGTCCATAAAGAACCACCAGGTGGACTTTGGGGTTCAGCACAGACCTTGTTTACGAGAAAGGAGCAGGTGTGACCTGGCCAATCCTCCCTGTGACCTCCCCTGACCCCACCCTCCCCCAACTCCCATTACTTCCCCCTGGATTTCAGGGTGCCCAGGCTGGGACAGGCACCCCTGACCCCCAACAGCCTGCCCTTCCTTCTTCGCTGGTGTCTGGCAGATGCAGCAGCCACCCCCTCGCAGACTCTGGGTGGAGCTGCTCTGCTCCATCCAGCCCCGCCTGGAGGGGACACCAGAGATGACCACACACCACACACACACACACAGGTGGTGTGGGCAGGCAGGAGAGAAAGGCCGAGGGCCACCCATGCCCAGCCAGCTTGGTCAGTGTCCAGGAAGGAAAAGGTGACTAGGTCACACACGAGCCCAGGCTGAGTGCCAGCACAGTCGGTCCAAGGGCCGCCGAGAATTGTTTTTAAGTTCTTTTGCAAAAGACTTATGGATAAGAAAACAATGTTTTTAAAGCAATGAGAACTGTGAGACATCTGAATTTAGATCCCAAAGCCGTCTGGGAGGCAGTGGCGTTTCACTCACCCATCTATTCACCCATCCACACATCCATCCATCCACCACCCACCCATCCCTCCACCCATCTATCCATCCATCCACCTATCCATCCATCCACCTATCCATCCATCCACCTATCCATCCATCCATCCACCCACCCATCCATCCATCC